TAATCCCCGTATAAAAGCCCGATATGTTTATTCAACGTAAAAATCGAGTTTTAAAAGGATTGAAAAACTGTACTAACATATCTACATTCAAACTTGGAGAAAGTTTCTTTTTTGTTTCAGTATACTTTGTTTCGGGTTATTTTAACCTGTTTAATTTCACAATCATTTAATCATCTTTATTCGTTTTGCTTGTAAGAATGGACTTTCCCAGGATTAAGTAGTGACAAATTAAGCCCACTGTCGCAATCATCTTTATACGTCTTACTTGTAAGAATGGACACTTCCAGGTTTAAGCAGTGACAAAGTTAGCGCCACGTTTTCTATTTATTGCTAGGTCAACTGCTCACAAATTCTTTCACAAACAAAGCCATGTAATCTTTTGTGTTAGCCAGGTCAACCAATGACGACGTATAAGCTCAGAGCGGTACTTGGAGAGCTATTCAGTCAATTCCAAAAAGATGTAAACACTATAAATGTCCATGAGCTACAATTATGGATTTTGATCGTTTAGTTTAGGTATTTTTCAGTGTTAGATATCAGGACTGTTAACACTAGTAAGTGTTTACACTATGATTTCATTATCAATGTTGATACTTAAATAAAGGATTGTATCGGTACAATATAGGTGATAAATAATATTCTATCACCATTTTTACATTATAAACCCTAAAAGTAAACATAAGATAAACAAAAATGAGACACTGAATGCCATCTTTTGTTATTTGTGTTTACATATTTGTATAAAAAATGATCGAGTGTTGTGTAGTAAACTGTAAGATAATTGCTTTTGCAAGCAAACTCATATTACAGGCAATAAATAAGTATGAAATATTGAACTATTTGTCATCTATTAGCTGTAACTTATTGATTTTTGTTTTAATGGTTTAATCAAAGCTTCATTGTGTGCTTTAAGCTTTAAATAAAGTAATATTTAACGTATGTCAAAATTCACAGCAAGAGGTTCCGCGTCTGTAGACGCCGATGGGAATCGATCACTGACTCCTTAATCTACACACAAATATTTCCCTTGCAAGGGACAGGTAAGCATTTTCGGACCACGTATACCTAGATAGCTTACCTTGGCTGTATATGATTCGTGAGTGTACATGACGTATTCGTCTGAAAGGTGTTCATGGTGTTCGTAGCGCCTAAAATGGAAGATGTAGAAACAAAAGTTACCATGCATTTCCGAAAAGAAAAATATTTTGGATCCGAGTCAACAATAAATTTTAAAAGGATTATTTTTTTTACTTTCAATAAACATGTGTACTTAACTTAAGACATGAAAATATTTCATATTTTAGAATTTTTAAGCACGTACTTCCCGTCAAATGTGTACATGTGTGGGTCGTTCAAAGCTTCACATCTTTTACCTCGCCAATACGTGTTTGTTTCCGGTTTAACAATTACCTGAAAAGCATTAATGGTCTCTTAGTTTTATTTGTATAATTATATGGATTCTAATTATTAATTTGACAATATTCTTTTAGTTGACATATTTCTATTTGCATAATATTGGATACTGTTGATTTTTTAAAAATAACTTCTTTCTTAATACGGATATTCAGGCAAAATAATGACAAAACTATCAAAATGATCTTATGTACTCATATCACGCTAAAATGACATTTCTTAAAGTTCCAGCATGAATTTCTGTTTAAATTCTACATATTTGGGTTTGAAGCGTAAATATATCTATTTTATTGATTAAAATTTAGACGAATAGTCACCGAATAGTTTTAAAACAAGTCATGTCACTTGAATAAACCCTTGAAGTTAAAATAAAAGATATTGTGGATATTGTAGGATTAAAACAAGTCGGAGTCATTCATTTGACATGTTCTTTAACGTTTCCAGAGTTCACAGTGGCAACTTTTGTGAAATCCTAGTGATCTAACCTGACCCACGCGGGTCAAGACAGGAAAACACCATTTTATTTTTTATACGGAGAAAAGTTTTGTTCTTTTGACTGTCTAATGTATTCACTTCGGGAGCATTATACAGAATAATGAATGAAAAAACCCAAAACTAGGAAATGAAAATTTTGCCTGTGTCTCCCTTTAATATCTATGTTCGTTTAATCTATATTTTTTATTTATTTATTTTATTGTTATAATTTTTTTATTTTAAGTTTTGCATTATAATGTCTTACCGTCACAGCAGGTAAGGTATAATCTCTCCATATTGAATCATTTAACATATGAATCGTTCTTAGGATAACTTTATGTAAAGTATCCTTTTGTACACCGTATTGTCCGTCTTCTGAAGCTTGAACTTGTAGACTACTTTGGCTACCAGCACTTCCTGGTACAGTTATTGAGCATTTCCTTGTTGAAAGACCTGTGCAATATTATAATAACAATGTAAGAGATATAACGTTTTGCACTAGATATATAGGGAACATTACATGAGTGTGTTATTCTGGTGGTTTATATCGCTCGAGTTGATTGTGCTATGTTGTATTCTCACGAGCCCTTTTTACACCTTCAATGGAAATGTGTAGCATGAATTTGAACGACACAACGAAGGAACTTTTTCCTTTGATAGACACATTTTCTTGTTCTAATGATGTAAATGACACTCGTTTGAATATGGAAACGTCATTAGTGCGTGAATCTACACGCAATTTAAATAAGTTGAAACGGTCGCATTATCAATTTTGAATACATGGTTCAGACTAAAATTAATGAAATGTTTTAAAAGCAAATAAGTAAACGCTCGATAGGTTCACGGCACAAAGAAATGTACAAACGCAACATACACAGGCCAATCATTATTGCATACTATTATTACACAGGCTAGTCAATAAAAAAAAGATTGAATACGGAAACGGATTTTCGTATTTATTTCGTCAGTCGAAAATGACTGTATTTTCTCCAGACAAAATACATGCTCAAAAACACACTCAAATGTGCATAATTATAATGAGGATGCTGGATTAATACACATTCCAATATACATATAATAATAATGCTGTTTCGATACAAATCTCAATGTATAGATTATGTTATATTCATAAACAGTCGTTCAGATAAAACATGTTTAAGATTCATGCATATTTCGATGAACACGATAATGACATTATTCATACTTATTAATAAATACACTTAATAATTTTAAGATACATGAACTTTTTAATAATAAGAAATTGTGTTTGATCTTGAGTTTAAAAATGCTTAGAAATTGAAAGAAAAATAAAATTTAAAATTTTTATTCAATTAACCAAGAAACATCTCAAAATTTACGGTTTATGTTTACGTTTTTATTGAAATTACCGAAAAGGGACATGAAAAGAAAATACTAATATGTGACCAAAAACTTGCGATAAATTTACCGGTACAGTTTTTACTGACTGGAATAGATATTGCCAATGTAAGATCACAACTGGGTATCCCTGTCTTTTGCAGGATGGTGCAGCCGAATGGAATAGTTGGAGAAATCATAATTGATGCAGTCTCATCCCTGTGCATTGTTATCGTCGGTGTCAATATCTAGAAGTTGATGAAAGGGAAAATTATGAAAATTACTCAATTGTTATGACTTTATGTAAATTTCATATTAAAATGAGACCTGTTGAATATAGTTTAGTTTTCTGTTGTTTTTGAAGTATAGGGAAGTAGTTTAAGTGGTATGCCGGTCAATGATAAAATGCATGCATGTCTCTTAAATATATTATTATATTTAGCCTTTAACAAGAAATGGCAATAATAAGGTTATCTCTTATTAATGTTTTTAGAGTTCTGTGCATACGTAAAGACAAAGATATAGCCTATAAGACTCTTGTACCTTGATTCCAGCAAACAAACTCGTTGACGCAGGTGAAAGTTCTTCTTTAATAACATTTGGTATTTCAAATACTTTACATGTAATCTGAAACAAAAATGTAATCATAGTCAAAATACCATTTCTTTTAGGCATCGCATGTATTGAGTTATAAATGAAATAGTTTGCATGAAAGCAATTATACTTTAATTTTATTTTTACAAATTTTGCAATTTCACAGATTTAACTACTATTGTATTTTATTTACATTAAATGGCAATGCAATATGGTGGTTCACAAGGTCTTTTTCTGTTGCATAAAGTCGTTCTATTTCTTCACCAACTCCAACTGTTTTCTCTATAGTATGATTTCCTTCTTTACTTTGAACAAACCATGTAACGCTATATGTAGTGTCCGGTGAATGATCAAAGTTGCATTTAAAAACTGTATAATTTCGAACTATTTCTTCATCAGACTTGGATTTAAGGAAGACTTCAATTTCAGGCTCTGCAATGAAATTAGTTATCATGACATCATGTATGAAGAAATTATATTGTCATTATAAAGGTATTCATTGATCTTTCTTTGTTTTCTTTTTTTTTTGTGTTTTTTTTCCCTCCCGTTTACTTTGATTGCATACTTCAGGAAAATATAGACAATTTAACTGATGACGGTGATCTATTAGAGAATTTCAGTTTTCTATTAATAGTGACATCTATTCGGTCATGGCTGTCGAGTTGCATTAAATTCAAGTTAATAACTGGATTATTTAAAACTTGCCTTTTCAATATATATACAGAGTTAAATGTATGAAAGTATGATTTGTTTTGAATTCAACGAAATGTGTTTACTTGTAAAAATGGATTCGTGCGCAAGCTGTATGCGTTCCTCGTGTCTGTTTATGTACACTTCAATCGTGTACTTTGATCCGATATTTAGATTTTGGAATGTTTGATTGAACAAACCGTTTTCCACCCGGAATGTAAGAATGACACCACCGTCCTGTTGTATGAGTTTTCCTTCTCAGGCTTCATTTTCGCTCCCATAATCAAAACTTATAACAGTAGAAAAACTACTGTTAGTTATTGTATTTTGTAACATATCAATATGAGCTCTTGCTGGGCGATGTGGTGTTTCTAAAAATAAGATTAAAATTTACATATTAAAGTGTTAACAAGTTTAACTGACGCTGACGTTTAAGAAAAAAACTAGATACATGAATAAAACTTATGTCTTGATATATATGTAATGTATATGTATGCGAACGTAAGTTTAACATGTGTAAGTTTTTCTGTCTTCTCTTCAAAACTTAGATTTTACAACTTAACGCTTCCAATCGATAGTAAATTTACAAAATGAATGGTCTTACTTGTTACTGCCCACGCCGAAGCGATTTCTTTCTTCCCTCCATTGTTAAAGACATATACATAAATGGTATAATTTGTCGCTGCCGAAAGATTATTCCACGTATAAACAATAAAATTCCTGTCTAAAAGCATGATCTGATAGACTAATCCGTCAAAGTTAACTAACTCAATAGTAGCATTATAATTATCATCGGTAGCAGTAATATTGACTGTACAGGTAACACTGTTGTCTGTTGTTTCGTTTTGTTGAATTGTGACGATTGCGTTAGGTAGTTTGTGTTCATCTGGCGCTTTTTGGGGTTCTTAAATATAGCATATTTTATTATTAAATATTGATGTCTGAGAAATTATATTTATTTCTTACGAAAAAAGTAGCATATACTACTGTTAACTATGTTAATTTATTTGCAAAATAGTCTACAGCTGTAAATATTAATCGTTTATTTATTACTTAAGATTTGACATAAGTTACTATTCATTTAACAGTAGCATTAAGTACAGTACCTAATTTCGGCTTTATGTTATGAAAGTAGTCGACACAATGTCTTTATCAGTGATAGAGAATTTGATTAAAGTACTCGAAACATTAAACTCACCTGGTTTTTCGATACCTGAAAAACATTTATTGTCACTTCGTTTACATGTAATTGTATAATAAGATATTACTTTCGTTTGTTTATTGTATCAAACAATATCAGTATGTAATTAAAACGTGGCAATTTATTGAAAAGTATAATTAATCACCGATTTATCAGATAACCATGACATGGGTTATGATAATTTAATTAAATTCTCACTATAGATTAGTTATGAACTATGCATTTAATCTATCAACACATTCCAACATTGATCAACATTTCTTTTTTAAGTTCTGTTCTGTTCTGTGTAGATATCAAGCAAAGCTGCGCTAAACGAACTACTGAATAGAAAACTCGAGGAATGATATGTTGTAAAATATGTCGATTGACGATTAACTTGAAATATTGAATTAGACATAAACACAAGAATATAATTATTTATTCATACATTTTATCAAAAAGACAAATGATTTCAATGTTAAAAGATGAAAATAGAATACCAAAACAATATCCAGAATCATCCAGTCCTGGCGGCGTAAGATGATAAATATAAGATTTTCCGCAGTTTCTGATCTTGATGTCCAATTTTCTATAGCAAGGCTTCGTAAATTTGATACAAGCTGTTCGGTTGACTACCCCATCACCAGGGCTTGGAAGTGTTCCTTCAAGAAGATAACATTGCATAGAATTATATGAACACTATTCAATTACGACCAAATTTTTGGAACTCTTTAAAGCATATATATAATAGTATACTTGTATACTACATTTGTAGGAAATGAACCTTTTATAGAATTGCTATTTAAATGAAAGGTGTACAACTTTAATTAAAACGCTTATCAATATTGAAATTTATGGATGACATTCACCTAGTCTGCATTCGCACATTAAATAAAAGTTCAGAAAAATGATAACACTTACTTTAAAGTATAATATTGTATAACAGATTATTTAAAACGAAATATCCGACGCGGCATATTACATTAAAATGTAAAATTAAATTCATTATAAAAGACCAAACAATATTGCATTTTGATGTAAAAGCTACTATCCCACTCATTGTAGTTTGGGCGTGTTTTTTTAAAAAATAAAATGTCATCAAAAGATAAAATTTCACCACAGCCTCGTACATTTATATGGAACTAGATAATTAATACATGTCTTGTCCGGCGAAAAAACATGTAAGTAAAGTTTTTGCAATGTTTACTTTCCTGTTATAATAAAGCGTTGCAATTTTGTTGTTTTTTGTAAATGTTGACTTAAATTATAAACACACCCTTTAACTGTTTACACGCAGCTCCGTTGCTTGCGGGTAGACCAGTTGTGCGCTTGGTAATTTTTTTTTATCCTGCAAACGATTGCTGAACATGTATCAAAGAAAGTTATTTCTAAAAAAAAGAGACATAAAAATGCAGAACGTATCTGGTAATTCGGTTTAAAACTGACATATATATAAAACATTTTAATGCACCAAGCTATTCTGCTCGCTTCAGGTTAACGGGCGTGATATTAGGGGTGTTAACATCTGTGCCAAGTGAAACATTTCAACAGTTTTGTGGAAACTGCAAGTTGTACTTTTAAACTTTACTTAATTAATAGCTGTTAACAAGTATATTGATGTTTAAGTCCCAGGGGGGTGAGTGTGTGGAAAAGTAGCTTTAATTTTTTTTTGTGAAATCTGCACCTGTAAAAATAAGATAATGATCAAACAATCCATAGATATTGTTTTTTTTTATAAATATGTATACGTGTATATAGACATTAATTGTTAAAAACGTTAATTTGAATTTGCTTTTGATATATTGGACTTCTTTAGCGGCATTCATTTTACAAACAAAAATATTAATACTAAACAAGGTAAATGACGTAACGTCATTAAGCAACTTTAATATATAGATAATAAGCGGTAGAAAGTTATGTACAACAACTATGTACGAAAAGCAGTGTAAAATGCCCATGCGGCACGGACGTTTTGCCGTGGAAAAATTGCATCAGACCTGCTGCAAATTAAGTAAATAAATAGAAATCGGTTATGCCAACAGTGTTCATTTCGGACAATATGTATGCTAGTTTTCAAAACGTTCATAGCGGATTATACAAATATGTTTAGAATTACCATTCATCCATATAGGAAACTTGTATCCACATCTACAGAGGCTTGGTGGAAACGTCACAATAGGATCCACACCGGCATAAAACCAAGCGGTTTTAATTCTGCGATCAGTATAAAGACAGTTGGTTTCCAAATTGGCGTACCGCTCATTAATATGAGATATATTACTTTGCATGCTAGCCAGACAGGGGTCAACATTTACTTGTGTCGCACTCAATGACCTGATTGCCATGCCGCCAAGAGCCACTTCAATGAAACGTTGAAATAATAGAATTAAAACATTTGTAAAAATAAGAATTTAAAACTCAAACTTTCATATCATGCGCACATTCATGGAATGTAAAAATATCATGCGTACATTCATGGAATGTAAAAATTTTTCTCTCTTTTCTTTTTTGTAATTGTTTAAGTTTTCAGTCAAAATTATATAAATTTGCCATAAACTCTGGCTGTCGTGAATTTCCTTTTCACCTGATTAAATAATCCAACACATTGGAAAGAAAACACATTTCCTTTTGAATATTAATTCATTTCAATTTATTTTTACTTCACGTAATAAGTATTAATCCATTTCAACAATTTTACTCAATGATCACAAATATAATCCAATTATTTAATTTGACAATTTTAACTAACAAATCAGTCTTACTTATTCATTTTATTTTATATAAAATTTCGCTATTTACGGTTAAACTGTTCCGCCTTAACAATTAAGCATTGCATTAAAAGCATATAACTGCAAATCGGCTCTTACTCGGCAGTAACTAGTGTAGCCGCTTTTTCATGAAGAAACCAGTGCTGATATTGAAAATTGTGATTGGCATATTCTAATTAGCCAGGTCAGGTGTTTCTAAACAGGCTGATAACACTGTAGCAATGTGAGGATACATTCAAATTTATTACATAGATAATGCACGTGGAGCTCAGCTCGCAGAGACAAATGAGAACACAGTAACTTTTTGATATCCTTTTAACTCTAAGAAAAATGTCAATTATTAATTGCTGACTGTTTATATTTTCTAGAAAAAAGTAAGCAAAACATTATTTTGTTTCATATGACAGGAATGAATTGCATTAACAATCCTAGGTATTGTTGAAAACTCATTGTTTTACATGCCAGATTAAGTAATTGGACCCCATTCTTGTTTGTACGTGACTGCTGGGGAAAAATAATGTTATGCTTAATTAAAGAGGTGACACTTTCTATATTTTTATCTGATATCGAGTTGTAAGAGCCGATTTGCAGTTATATGGGTAAGAGTTCGATAAGACTCCCTACGGTCGTCTTAATACGAACTCTTACCCATACATAAAACATGAATATTCCGTGAACAATATTCACCGTCGGGGAGTTTAAACAATCGGTTTAGTAAATGCACGTGAATAACATAGTAGTGGCTGATAAAACACGGGCAAAACGTCATCACGACATCACCGTCGAATAACTTTAAATAGTACTTCAAACTACACAGTTTTATGTAGTAGATATAAGCCGAGAACTGTCCAATATGTAAAATATTGAATTTCATGAGGCGCGTAGCGCCAAAGAGAATTCAATATTTTACTTATTGGTCAGTTTGAGGCTTATATCTTACTTAAATTACTAGTTTTACTATCAAATATCATGTTATCTATCGAAAATTTAGAAATAATGTATTTTTGTGCTAGAAATGTTTTAGCAATTCTCTTTTTCGTACTTGCAAAACCCTATAGGTAGCCCCTTGAATAACAAAATGTCCGTAGCATGAACCTTTCGTGTTTTGAAATATGACCAATTCTGTACATGAACACAATGATATACACAAAATATACCAGTTACACAAAATGTTGAACTTACACACATACAGTATACATCAATTTACATTGGGGATTTTTACAAGAAATAATAAAAATGAAATGTTTTCAAAATTGTGTTGAAACTTGGATATTTTGAATGATTGAAAAAGGATTTATACCGACCATTCAGTGTTAACATGATATTTTTCTTACATTACTACAACTATCAAGGATGTAAAATGTTGTGTAAGAATTGCCATGTGTGAATTTTGGATATTAACGGAACAAAGTGATATTTTCTTATTTTTGAATTGGTATTTGTCATACCACAGGAGTCTGGAATCGTTTCTATATATAAGCAGTCAAATATAGCCGCTTTTGTTTTAAATAGATGAATTTATTTTCTCTGTTGTATTTATTTGAAAAGCTGACCATTACACTTACTTGAAAAGTTGACCTTACTGAAACATAACGTACATACAATTAAGCAAATCAAGTATGATTGTCAACTAAACGTATATTTAAAAAAGAAAAAAAACGGACAATAGACAAGAAATTAAACAATCCCATAAAAATCATATCCGCTATCTTTCACTTGGAAAGCGTAAACAGTGATAAGATGTTAAGAACTTGAAAATCGAAAATCAGTAGGCTTGAAATAATGATTCGTTAAATGAGCAAGATAACAGTTATTGGTATTTTCGTAAAATTATGTAAAATGCGTAATGGGCGAAGGAAAGTTGTTGCATCATTTATCGTGTTAACCTCTGAGATAAGAGGTTACATTTTACTTAATCGTTTTTTTGTTTTTTTTTTCTTTTTCTTTTGTTTTATTTGGAGAATTTTCCGCAAAATCCTGTGGTCATACAAGCTTCTTTCACTACACGTCACGCTGTCCGATATTAATGTGTTACACAATTTATATTAGACTTACACATTAATATTGGACACCTACCCGTACTGTATTAAAAATACAGTACGGTCAGAACAAAGGAATGACGTCATAGTAGTAATTTAAATCATACAACTTGCTAAGATAACAAATAGAATTATATAAAGATGCATGTATATCGCAATGTATTCGACACTAGCAATCTGTTGCATTTTTGGATAGGGGGGTTTCAATTATCAAACCATAAAAGTGATTTAGTATTTTTTGTATGGAAGTCAAAATATCTCTTTGTTCCGTCGCAAATTATTTTATAGTCAATGCTATTTCTTGAGCTTCTCACATGTTCTAAAATCCATTGCTACAACAATATGAAGGTAATTTCAAAATAAGCCGACACATGCTTTATTTTACCATTGACATATTTAATCAGTTGACTATATTTGGTCAATTCTATGTTCACAATATGATGAAAAATTCTTATTCGTTCAAATGCGTCTAAATGTTTATTTTCTATGTTAAAATTACAGCCTATGTGACCCTACGGCGTAACACTCCAAACATTTTATCGTGGGAAAGGTCAGAGCTTGATCCCTATTATCGTTAAGAGTCAACGTGAAATTGCGCTAAGTTACAGTGACGTCAACTTACTGTCAGATTAAAATTTTAATGTCATATTATGACAAGTAATTGAAAATTTCCGAATTCATTAAAACAGTTGCAAAAATAAAAATTGTAACTGATGGCGACGTTCAATGCTTGTAAGATAGAATAGAATACAAACAGAATTCCTTAAGTCAGCCCAACACGGCAATATTGATTGAGCCTGTTCATGGACGGAAGTGGTTATTACGCCCCCTAAGCAGAACTCAACATTAAACATTACCTAGTAAAAATTTAAAAATTTAAATTTTGAAACATCCGCAGATGTTTTCATATTGTCGTTATAATGGAACCTTCAGTGTGACACGTGAGTACCTTCCATGAAAAGCGGCATTTTATCCCTAAGTAAAAAAAATGCGTGTGCCCTCAACGAGAAAACAATAGAATAGAAAAAACAACACATTGGAATGAATTAAAAGTAACAAAGACATGCACTTACAACAACAATCTTCAAAGATCGAAAATATAACAGATATGATTAAATGTACGCTGAAACATTTTACAGCCGCCACGTGCACACGGCACAAATAACACTGATGTGCAATAAAATAGAGACAAACAGAATCTGTAGAAAGCCGCTGAAACATTTTACAGCCGCCACGTGCACACGGCACAAATAACACTGATGTGACAATAAAATAGAGACAAACAGAATCTGTAGAAAGCCCAAATACGGTTGCACAAGCGTAAAATCACGGCCAATAGACACAGCTGGATAGTAATATCGGCTGTATGGCAGATATCTTACTCTAAAATGACAAACGACGGTGGATACCATGAACATAGAAGGTTCTTCGATACCCGCCCGTATGAACACATCTGCGAATGTTTCTAAATCCAAAGTTTCCCCCCTTCCTTTCCTCTTCTCCAACTTTAACGTTTTAACCAAATTCAAATTACTAAATTAACTACGGTAAAACTACGATTTTTACCTACGATTTTAGTTGAAACGTACATGTATATTGAAATAACGATTTTATTTTTCATTTTAAATCAAAAACATAACTACTAAATACTTACTACAACAATCAGTTTTTGTTTTCCATGAAAAGAGATAGTTTATAGTTTTATTAAAATGCTACAAGTGATTCAGTGATACCATGATTATCAAATTCTATATTCAAGTGACATGTACTTACTGAAGTCCACAATAATGAAACAAATTTGAAATAGTCAAACATGTGATCACAATTGAATGTCAGTCATCATAGAAATACATGAGACCTAACAGCATGTAGAAATATATTAAACAAAATTATACTGTGCATGAATATAAAACCATATAAACTAACGTAACACATATACAATGTACCTACCGACAACGAAGCATGCTATTGTTAGTATATTCATCCTTTTATTTACATCTTTGTTTATAAACACCAATATCTTTGTATATTAACACAAATTCAGATGTTTGATGTCTATATTTTAAAAACTGATTAAAACAATCGCTTTGTCAGGACACCCTTGTATAAATGCCGGCTACTGATATCGATATTAGTGATATGATATAGTGTTGACCAATGAAATTGCTATCAGGTGTTTTATCAAAAATTAAACAAGGAAGATGAGATAAAGCAGAAGAGTCATACCCATGTCACACAGTAGTTTGAAGTCAAATCAGAATGTGTTGATGAAACCTTTTAATCCTTCATAAAATGATGTTTTGGGGGTTAATAAAGTTTGGGCTTGTTCTTCTCATCCCGCATATATGCAAAGGTAAGCTTTCTTATTTTTGTTTTACTTTTAAATTATTTTATTTTTTGTTTATTTTATTTTATGTTTATTAATTTTTTTTATCGATTTATTTTTTTTAAATGTTCAAAGAATCTTATTTTGAGATTGAATAGAAGAATGTATAAGAAATACTAGTAAAACTTTAAAAAGTATGCGTTAATAAAGGTAAAAAATGTTGTTACGTAATAAAATTGTATATGTAACTGGCATGGAATGTAAATACAATTTTAGACTTTACGTGATCAGCAATATTAATTATATAACAAAATAATAATGAATTATAATATACTAGTATATGATTTATAATGGTAAATGAAACGTGCGAAATGATTTAAAAAACATCCGCCTCTATGAGCTTGACCAGTCTGTTACTTAGTAGACAAAGTAGTAGTCTTCTTGAAATATCAAACTTAAGTATTTCAGCGTATTTACTCCATCGTGTACACCTTCCAAGTAGCCATTGTAGATACCGTGACAGGCTTTCATGGAGCGTTCTTAAAACACAGTATGAGCTACTGAAACTACTAGTATTTGTTTGTTCGTTAATTTGTTTATTTATTTAGTTTAAATTATTTTTATATCATTTATTTATTGATGTATTTATTTATTTATTTATTTATTTATTTAGATGTGTATATACTTATTTATATCACTCGGATGCTGCCTAGGTTTGGCAACGTTAAAACTTAAAGCAATATTCTGAACTAGTGCGCCGCCAATCACAACGATAAAAAAAGTTATTCCTATTGCTTTTAAAAAAATAACGAAAAGATAAAGTTGTCAAGTATGTTTAGAAAAGCTGGTACCCTGGGCATATTCATATTTTAAAGGGTAGTAATGAAACAATGCAAAGATAGAAGCAAAAGAATATCAGTTAACCGACTGGATTGAAAACAAGGCGGCCATGATCAGAGCTGCATTACTGGTACTGGTACTGCAATACGTACTGCAGTTTTTTTTGCAAGTACTGGTACAGATACTGAATTACCCTTAAAAATGTTGCTTCTTCTGGTACTGGTACTGCATTTCTGTCTTAAAATGTGGTTCTGCTGCTGCATTACAAGGTAGTACTTTGGTTTTGATAAAAATGTTATCAGTTTTTCTCAAAAAGTGCAGCTGTAAATCCCGTGTTCAATCTTAGAGCGTAGAGAAATAATAATGCATAAATGATTAATGTATTCTTTTAAGTTTTCCTTATATTTAATCTATATGGACTAATTGACACCGGAGTGGTATAAAATGATGCTTAATGTCTAATAACTTAGTTCTGGTTAATATCTTATTGTTTAAGGAGGAGAAAATTGTAAAAGATTTTATTGCCTGAATCCAATTTTAGCCTTGCGACTTACTTATGGACCAGACTTATAGTATTATGTAGAGCGCCACGTAACATCATTCCTGTGAATTCTCATGTCGAGTGCATAACTTTTGTTAGTAAAATCAACTAAAAATTGCAGAACAAACAGGTCATAGGTTTTGAAATTCTTTATTTACATCTTTCTTAAAGACGTTAATTTTTATTTCAACCTATTTGTTACGGTTGAGTTCTTACCCACCGTCATAACTGTAACCGCAATGTCTGGCAACTGCGATTCCTTGAACCAGTGACCAATAGCGCAGTTACTTTCGTAATCTCAAGTTCAGATTAAAAGTCATGGTTGATTGCACACCTACTTATAACCAGAAGGAAAACCTCTAAAAATTGAGTTAGGGAATATTCTTTCGATTGAGTGGTTTAGATTGTTGTTACAGATTTGTTATAAAGGGGTAACTGATTTGATTCTCTGACTCGGGGAAATATCATCTAGTTATATTGAGTATAATGGGCATTTGTCTTCCTTCGCTGATTCAGAAGTCACGTTGGACTATGTACCGGTGACTCGCGGAGTAAATGGTTATTAATGGTTAGATATTCTAGAAGGGAAAGGTAGAACTAGCGCCGAATGTTGTGTAAAATGTGGCGTAAAAAACAACCAAACAAACAAGAAAAGAAAAAAACGCTTCTTTCGATTGCAAATTTAAGTCGAAAACGAGTCGGGATTATTTCTAATGCATTTGTATATTTCTGTTACGAACAAAAATGCTTGTAAGAAATTTTTTTTATAACAGCATTTTACACAATTTGTAGCCGATGTACGACTGGTTGGTGGTCAGACAAAATATGAAGGCCGATTAGAAGTTAGGAATGGTACTAGTGGTCCTTGGGGTACAGTTTGTGACGATGAATTTGATAGAACAGATGCTGCTGTCGTCTGTCGGATGCTAGGGTTTCGAAATACACAGTTAGTGACATAGTTACACTGTAAACTATCTTCTGTAATATTATACTTATATATCACCTTGTTTACTCTGGTCACCATACTAACAAAGTAAAATTTCTGAAAACTAATGTTTGCCTGTGATATTGTAACGTGAAAGTTATTTTTCAATATAAACAATTTAATTCTTTTTATCTAAATAAACATTTTATTTACATATTGTAAAATCTATATGAACATTTTATTTACATAATGTAAAATCAACAGTTTTCACAAATCACACACACTGTATATTAAATTAACTTCGATAATGTCTATGTTTTATCAGATATGCCGTTAATGTATCATCTAAAGTTTATGGACCAGGATTAGGAAACATAATTTTGGATGATTTGAAATGTGCTGGAAACGAATCCGACATATTCCAGTGCAAGGCAAGTGCTGAAAAGAGCAATTGCGACCATGACGAAGATGTTGGCGTAAACTGCCGTAAGTCTTCGCATTTTATGAGTTAACATTTATTTTTTTTAAATTTGGCCGTTGAATATTATCTTTATTTATCGACATTTTAATACATATATCGCATTTAAGAAATGTACAATTTGATAATATACAATGCTGAAAATGTGTCTTGTTTCAAGTATTATTATTTATTATGCATTTGTTTTATTATTGGTGATATATTGTCTTTTAGAAACACCAATCAGACTTGCTCATGGAACAACAGACCATTCTGGGCGGCTAGAAATAAATGTGAACGGTTCTTGGAAGTCATTTTGCCAAGACTCTTTCAACGAAACTACCGCAAATGTAGTTTGCAGGATGCTTGCTTTTAGCACTGGGTATGTAGAACACTTAGACAATTTGTAAAGATTCTGTGATTACAATACATTTTGTTTTAAAAAAGTAAACTATTTTTGTATATTGGTAAATTTATAGCTGCCCATATTTAAACGAAAATGATTTTCACTTTTTCATTTGCCCTTAAAAGAAATGTGGAAATCAAGTCAACTCCAGGACTTGTTGACGGCAGTGATTTATCTGAAAAGTTGCCAGTGTGCAATGATGGTCTAGAAAACGATATAACTCAGTGTCAGCAAAAAGATCAAACATCTTGCTTGACGAATGGAAGAGTAGAAATCAATTGCAGTAAGTGTTCCCAAAATCAGTTCTTAACAAAAAAGTCAAAGCTGAGGTATATTTTTGATAAGATATTCATTTAAAATATTTTATTAGTGAAAACTTGCAGAATAAACGATATAAATACATGCAGAGAAGTATGTTGTGAATGAACGATATAAAGAACATATCGAATACACGGACAACATATTTTTCGTCTGTCAATTGAAATCAACTTGATAACTATGATTAAATGGGTTTTCATCAGAAAGCTTAATCAGACGATACGTGTGTGCTTATCCATATCATCTTAAAGATTTTTTAAGAGAAAACTCTGCACCATTTGATGACCTGTGTTTTCATTTATTGTAAGTTTGTACATTTTTGCCAAATTTTACTGTATAAAGGAACTCAGCTTAGGTTACAAAATGGAACCCACAATCAATCAGGAAGAGTAGAAGTTTACTTTGAAGACAGATGGAATGCTATATGTGATGATTTCTTCAATGAAAAGGCAGCAACAGTTATATGTAGAATGCTAGGTTTCAACCCAAAGTAAGTGTTTTTGATGTTGTGATACTGTAAGTTGAACAAATAAAAATATTAAAACACTAAGAAAACATTAAATATTATACAAATATTGGGTTTTTAGCTTATAAATATAATTTAAAACACACTGACAAAAAATATAAATTGACCAAGGCAATATTAACGAACTGGCATATTGCTGATGATTCAAAAGTATACCAATGTAATTATTGTAGATTTTTACCAAAAAGCAGTAAGATAAAATAATTTTTCAGCTGATATTGTAACAATGTATCATTTTTTTCAAACACTAATTTTGTTAAAGGTTTGCTAAAAGTTACGGTCGATCACGTTTTGGAAAAGGCAGTGCCGATTTAGCTATAGCTATTGATAAACTACGATGCTCTGGTAATGAGAGTGATTTATCAGAATGCAAGTCAAATCAATGGGGATCGCATACAACATGTAGTCGTAATCGAACAGCCGCTGTGAAATGTGGTAGGATTTCGTTTCTTTAATTAGATTATCCCTTGTACAAAAGTTTGAACCTTAGAAGTAACTGTTGAAAAATATATGCTTTAATCATTATAGATATTTTACACGTGACCAATTTTTTTTTATTCTTTAGTAAACGACACACATTTACAAATTATCAGTGGAAAAATATGAATTTCAAATACATTTAAGTTCAAGGGTATACCTTATTATTTATACAACTCATAACAAGTGTTTCTTTTACAAGCCACGGAAATAAGACTTGCAGATGGCCCGACGGCATTTGCTGGCCGGCTAGAAATCAAATCGTCTGGTTCCTGGAGGACGATGTGTGATAAGGATTTTGACATAAAAGCTGCACATGTTGTATGTAAAATGCTTCAATTTGATAACGGGTGAGTATAAGGCAGTAAAATGTTCGTGTGATATCATCGCTACCATACTGAGAGTACCTATCATATCAGTTATGCAATAATACAAATGAACAATATGTAAGGGTTTCCGATAACATTATACAACGAACAAAAGCCTAATGGTATTTTAGAGTTTAAACTGTTAGTTAAAAAAATATAAATGTCATTACACAATTTCATATATATGTGCACAAAGAGAACAACAGAACATTTTATAATAAAAAAAATCAAAATCAATCAGAGGAATCAAATTAGATCTTTAAGAATCAATATAATATTGTTTTTTCTAAAGGTTTTGAGTAACAATAAGTTTACTTTGTTCTTTTTTGTTCAAATAATTATTTAATTATTTTCATTAATAGTGTTCATATTTTTAGAAATGTCAGTGTTAAAGGTAATTCTTACTACGGAAATGCATTGGCAGATAACATCGGCTACACATTAAAGTGTACAGGTGAAGAAGACGATATAATGGACTGTATTCGAACAAACAGTTATTCAACTTGTGGCAAGGCAGTTGGAATCAACTGCTGTGAGTATTGAACCCTTAGTATACTAGAACCGACATTTATTAGCATTAGTTTGTTAGTATAAAGTCATACAAGCCTGCACATCTTTTCCGTCTGACAAGAGTCTATATTGTTGCTTGAGTAACTTAAAATGCAATGCTTTTCCTGAATTGAAAGTGGACAGTCCTAAAGGATTTATAATGATAAACTATTATCATTTTATACTTCAATAATATAATGCATATATAGGCAGAGATATGAATACATTTTTGTCATTAGTATTTCAATAAAATAACCACTTGAATAACACATTTTAGACAACGATAGAATGCATGTTCCCACTTCCATGGATGGTGAAAATAGATTTGAATGTTTACAATGACGGTTATATACAACCAACAAACAGAGAATATTATGCTGCAAATGAACTACCTAGCTACTGTGCTATTATTATACATTACCATTAATGTCATTTATTATAGTTATAAAGCTCCTATCCACGGATATCTTTATCATATTTGTAGCTCTTACATAGGATTCATATGTATAAAAGCACACAAATAGTTAGCATAATTATGTAAAGTGAAATTTCCAACCTCAATGATGAAATTACATTTTGCAGCCAGACTTTAATAATGTTTATAAAAAATGGTTGAAATAATTTTCCTTGTTGATCTTGTTTATCATATATATATATTACGTGCATTACTGTACTCTTTAAGATTCCGACACACCCGTAAGACTTGTAGGTGGACCGACGACTTATTCAGGAAAGATTGAGGTGTATTCACAGGAAGAATCCAAATGGAAAGGTGTTTGTCTGAAGGGGTTTTCAATTCATGATGCATACGTGATTTGCAAAATGTTGGGGAATCCAAATAGGTATGACTGCAATTTTTCACTCGTGAAAACGGGAAGTCTTCCTGATTCATTTTATGTAAATATTTTGATAGCTAGATTTGAGCACTGATAATTAAGAAAATGAGAACAGCATCAGTCTATATCTTATTTGCATATTTATGTCATGTTCTTGATAATTTTGTACTTTCAAGCTAAGATATCTTTACCATTGTAACCTAAGTATAAGTGTCTATCAGATGAAGATAAAAATGTGAATGTAAAGATCTCACTGCAAATAAATAATGATAAACGGCATCAAGGCTCAAACAGTTAAACGGTATAAGCGATTTTTATTCTGATGTTGATATTGTATTTATCTATATATTTTACCCGCTGTTCAGAAATCCACGTATACACAGGGCAACAACTCTTTATCATTTTGCTATACGAGAATACGCCGTGGCCGGCCTAAATTGTGCTGGCAATGAAAGCGATATTTCCGACTGTAAATCAAAGGAACGATGGAACGACTCAAATTGTACCTACTTGGATCATGCTGGTGTAAATTGCGGTACGTTTGACAATAGTACATGCTCTTGCTGCATAATATTCTACATTAGGCCCCTTATAAAACCTATTCATTTGAACGTGTGATGTAAAACAATTTATAGGAAACATATTATCTTTTCTGTCAATGGTTTGATTGTAAGGAAAAGTACAATATAAACATGTCAAGAAAGATGTATAATAAAATTTTATTGACCTATAATATAGGCAATTTCCAAAGGAAATTAATCATTTGTTGATAGAGTTTTAAGTGATTCCGTATGTGCATTTATATAATGACTCATACAATTGCGTTCTAGAACAATTCATTATCAGTTACAGTGTATATATAGATATGTCATATCATACAGTGTATCTCACATTTGCTAACAACATCTTTACATAATTAAATTTTGAACTTGGTTTGTTGTGATACTACAAAAAAATATTTATGGTATTAAAGATCTCCTTATATGGACCAACTCATTTCAAAATTACCGTTTGTGATTCACTAGAAAGAAAAAGACTAGCATATCATAAAAAGAAGCTAATAGGCATTCGAATAATTTCTAAACGAATATCATAATTATATAACAAAACCTCTTCTAGGAAAACATACGCCTGGTAGTATACTAAAAAAACGTATCACGGACGAAAATGTACATTTAATAAAGATATCAGATTTATTGTTAAAGTATAAGTATGATTCTTTTTCTGTAGAATGTGATAGAATTGTACAGTCGATTTTTAGGCAATAGCATATAAGTTATATTAAAGACAGGTGATCTTACTTGTATGAATATAAAGGGGTTGAAAATGAATTGATTGCAGAGAATTAAAGTGATATAATGTCCATCCAAGGGTTTATGGTGGGTGTGTAGATCAACGTCAAAATATCTTCACATTAATGTGTATAATCAATAGCCCATGTGACTCACCAAATGTAGAACTCTATAAATGTCCTTTGGAATGTATCGTCATCTTTCAACTGATGGAAGAGTGGGTCAGTCTGTTTATATTTTAGGCAGTTGTTATGTTTTATCCATAACATTTTTATTATGAATTTTTGGACCATTATAAACGTTACATTTTTAAAAGAAATACAGCCAATTCAACTCAACTCGACAACGAAAATATGAGGGAAGTGTCACTTTAAAAGAACTTCACTGAGGTCAAAAAGCATAAAGATTATTATATAAAGTGATTGAGACACTTAAAATGAAGAAATCTGCTCATGTCGATCAACTAAAATCAAAGTTTAATTTAATATCGATTTTTGTGTGATTTTTACTCAAATTTCAGTGAAAAGCGTGGCAACCTTTTCAGTTATGGGTCATTTTGAACAATAATAGGGAATGATTATAAAAATTGCACTAACATTATTAATCAAAACCTATACTAAATGCGACTATCGAACTTGACCTGTATTGTGATATGACAAACTATAAACAAATCACTAAAATCTTTCAAGTTATTCTGCGGAAACAAATTGTTTTCGGACGGAAGGACAGACAACCCCATTCTATGATTCGTCCTGAAGTTTTCATCGGAATATAATGTAACAAATGGACATAAATTCAAGACTTTTTCGATACGTGCACGTCGTTGCGAGGCACACGGTATCGGCAGAAGATTAAAGAATTTTGGACTGCGAAAAAAGACAACTAATTGAAACTTCTTTCTTTCAAATCAGCTGCCAAAATCTTGCCTGATGCCAAGAGGAGTAGCCCTACATAGTATACGGAACAACAAGAAAGGTTTTGTTGGTGCGTGAGTCCCAATTACGCAGTGACGACTTTAGAGACAGGCACTTAACTTGGCACATATCATAGCTACTATAATGAAGCTTTTAACTATATGAATGTAAAAGTCCTTTTACTGCATCCGCTTAATGAATCAGTTAACATTCATACACGTGTCTAACTAACATTAAGCACGTTTTTTGTTGTTGTTTGTTTAACGTTTATGACGTAATGTGAAAATATATGAACGGCCATGTCATGCCGTTTTCACAGAGTCATAAAAAAAATTGTCTTCTTGTAACTATTTCAAAATGTCTGAACTTATTCTAGAACCTGTCACACCAATTCGCCTTGTAAACGGGCCTTCAATAAAAGCCGGAAGAGTTGAGGTGTATTATAACGGAACATGGGGTCATATTTGCATGAATGGATTGACATCGAACGAGACAGGTGTTATGTGTGAAATGCTTGGATATGGCCGTTCGTAAGTATGAAAACATAAATCTAACGCGTATGTCTTTTATGAATCATACATTTTACTCCCTTTTTTTTTGAAGACTTATCTCCAAGTGTAGATGAAGATAAAGAAATCAATGAACGATTTAACTCATTCATAATTTGAAATTTTAAGAGTTTTTTTATACAATTGTAAAAAGCTTGCTTCATTTTAACTTGTATTTAACATAACGATATAAGTTAATACCAGTTGAAGTGTGAAAACAAGTTTTTAATTTTATTTACAAATATGTTTATTTTGATGGCACATTTCTCTTAAGTCTTGGCAGTTCTGGGCAGCTTTTAATGTTTAAGTTAGATACTGATGCGTTATTATCTACCGGTATTTAACCAAAAAGAATATCTTATCTTGACTTAGACTAAAAGTAAGTCTGATTAATATCTGTTATTGATCATGTTAACACGAAAACTTACTAGTTAGTTATAAAGTTACATGTTACGCGATTGTTACATGTTTAACTGTTGGCATTAATATGCAAAAATAGTTAATGATTCCCTTTTTCTTTGAATGTTGACATTATTTCTAATTAAACTTTAAGGTCATACATTCTTCAAAATTGGAGACATTCAAAAGGAAATTATAGCATCACAATTAACGATTTAGATTGCTTTGGCAACGAAAGTGATATATCTGACTGTAAAGCGACTCAATGGCAAGATGGCGAATGTTTAGGTGATGCAGCACTCGGGATAGCCTGCGGTAAATATATAGCATATGATCTTTTTTCATTGCAAATCAGACAGGATTATCTACTTTTTTCACTGTTTTACCCCCAAATGTCAGAGAAGTCGTGTGTTTTAAATGTCGTCATCACCGCGTGCCTTTCATGGATAAATTTCGTCATTCAATATAATAATGTTTTTGAAACACACCTCGAACAAAATAAAATTTCATCTTTGCAAAACAAATTAATATCCACTATATAATCTACATTATGTACATTGTAATTTCAATGAGTGTTTTTTTAATTGCTGATTTCCTTAGTCTGCGTTATACTATAAAAAAAGGTTTATCTAGAACAATCTAAAAAAAATATATTGTAACTTGTACAACATTGAAACGTGCATGGTTTTCAGGATCTATAATAAAACTGGAAAATGGTTCCGATCATCGGTCTGGTCGTGTTGAAATTAAGCATAATGGCACATGGTGGACAATTTGCGCAGATACATTTGATATAAATGCAGCTAATGTTACATGCAGAATGGCTGGATTTCGCTTCTGGTAATACTCATTTTTGTGTAAAAAAATAGTGTACAAAGTAGTTGCGACATATATGGATCAGTTATCTTTAGTATGTATGTCCGTTTATCCGTCTGTCTTGACTACTCCTCAAAAACGCCCGGTGCAATTTCATCCAAACTGTCACAAGAATGATCGGTATCAGGCCTAGTTGTGCATATCGTCGGTATTGCCAGTTCAGTTTTTTTTTTGTCAGAGTTAAACAGTAAAGTTTAGTAATATTTATTGCTGTTTGAATACAAGTTATGCACATTATTTTACACATAACAACAATTTTAACAAAGGGCAAAAGGGTACATCAACACGTTCTAACAACATTAGTAACTGTCCTTCCGTAAAAATTATAAGATATTGAAATGAATACATGTTTAAACACAAGAGCAATAACACAACTTAAGGATACTTATACAATATAAAACAGCAGCAATTTCAGCTCATTTTATTTAAAGAGAAGACAAACATTTTGTTATAATCATTAAAATAGAACCTGTTCCATTCCGAATTTGTTGGGTTATTAAGAAAATGATCTAGAAAAAATTCTGTTCGTCTCTCTATTGTTAAATTATTACTTCGGAGGTTATATGGGTTACCTTCGGATAAAATATTTGAGAACAAAGTTTCAAGATAACTTGAAAACTCGCCCTTTTATCTTTATACATCATTGATATTTTTTACATTAAATTGCCGACCTTTTCGTAAAATGTCTTACTACACCAAGCGAGTGAAACCAGTTACTAAGCGCACAGTCTCATTATGGTTAAAACGGTAGGCACAGCGGGTGTCAATAAAGAACATTTACAATTTATTATTGTTGACTGTATTTATTTTGGTTATGTGATATATAGAACAGTATATTTGTATATACCTTAATCACTAAATGTATTGAACTCTTTCAAAAAGATATCTTCAGAGGTTCGTATGATATAGATTATTTTCAACTTTTCAATAAATGTAATGATTGTCCTACACTTATTCAAAATCCACTCTTGTCTTAACAAACCAATATAATACAATATTTCAGGAATGCATCTGTTATTTCAAACTCTGTGTTTGGAGTCGGATCTGTCAACTCTTTGATCAACAATATAACATGCAAAGGTGATGAGGATGATTTATCAATGTGTCTCGCATTTTCTTGGGAGAAAACAACGTGTAAACAAGTTGCCACAGTTCATTGCCGAGTTCAACGTAAGCAATCATTGTATTTTTTTTTTTGCTACATTATTCTATTTAAACAAATACCTTTTCATGATTAAATCGTATAGTTTTACAGCTTTTTCCAGTCTAGTAAATGCCGATTTAAAGCGGCTTGTAAAGCTGTGATCATATTTCAAGGTGGCATTGGAATCGTCATACTTGTTTACTAGAGAATAAATTGAATTTTAAGTGCCATAAATTACGACAAATATCAAAACGACTGCAGTTTACTTGTGAAACAATCCCGGATCCAATGCGGATCACGGGTCCTAACATTGTCCTGTAACAGAAGGTGGTACTGGAAATAACGCGAATAAAATTGTATAGTTAAAATAGCTGGAGGGATATCTAGATCTGTTTTTTAATCAAACATGTCAAAAAAGTGCTTCGATATATTTCCACAATTCTATGCTTTTAAAGAGAGATTTGAAATTTAAGTAGACGGTAGATATATTGTTATCTTCTGGAGGCAGTGGCTATAAGGAAGATAAAAAATCTTTCACGCGTCGAACAGTGACTGCATTTTTATAAATTGACAGGGCAGGGATTAAGGGATAAATAACAGAACGATTCTTGCATTACTGATTATAATTGATAAGTCCGTGTTAAGCTTCAAAATGCATCTGTCATGAATGCAGTTTTTTTTAGAATTTAATAATGAAAGAACATCAATGGACAGAATGACTCATATTTTATGTTTTTGACAATTCATACTTATACACTTTTCATAGCAACATATCATTACACAGTCGAAACTTGATCATAAAGTAAAAATAGTGGTTTCTTTCAAACTTTTGTTAAACACTTGACGGTAAAAATCACACTGCGGCCTGGCATAACATAAATTGTCACAATGAACTCGAACAACTTAATATGCAGAACGTAATAGTAAGAAGCGAGGAGGCGTAGCCCCCAGTAAAAATCAGATTGCCGTGTGTCTTTATGCTCTTTCTATTTTATATCATAGACAAAAATAAAAACACGTTCCATATTGTCACAATATGAAAGCCCAGAAAAAGATATCTTATTATATCGACAGCTATATGATTTTAGACGAAAACGATAAAATGGTTTTGTATCATAGTTTTGGGACCTTTCTGTTGAAATGTGTCAGAAAATGTATACATATGCATGTACAATGCATTAACTGGAGCGCAGGTACACGTATATGTTACCCGCACTCCAGAGCATGCCCATTGATTGTACCAAATGGGTATTGTAAGATATGCTTAGGTAATATACGTATAAACCTTGTAATACTACAACTGCTATTATTGACTGACACTGGTTGATACCTGAAAATGTACTTTTAAATTCATTAGCTATATATTCAATACATATTTCAGAAACCCCGCTCCGTTTGGTCAATGGTGACGTTCCCTATTCTGGACGCGTAGAAGTATTCTACAAAAATAAATGGGGTACAGTTTGTGAAAAAGGGTTTACCTTAGCTGATGCTAAAGTGGTATGCCAAACAGCTGGATATAATTTTTCAACGTAAATATTTTCATTTCTCCCCAACAGGTTATATTCAGTTTTATAAACCCATGAAATGGTATTAAAGCTGCATGCATTTATTCCTTCAGATTAATCATTAATGTTTAAAGACTCCAACTTATCATAAACGTATTAAGAATTCAAGAAATGGTTCATATCACGTTTTTCCAAGCATGACGGAGTTAACCAATTTACAACAAAACCATAAGCCCAATACGCTTATTGGTTTTATCATGTTATTTTAGGGATGTTACGATCGTGATTGACAAGTTTGATGGAGAATATACACCATACCAAGTTATGATACGGAATCTTGCATGTAACGGTAATGAATCTGATATTTCACTCTGCCAGTCAGATGATTGGGACACCGGTTATGAAAATTGTCCGTATTCGGGTAGCTACCAGAGTGTCGGTGTTAAGTGTTGTAAGTTTTATCTCTTTTTTGTACTTATTAACAGTTAAATTGTAACTTGTGTTGACGCAAATATTAAGTTTTTATATAACTATATACTAACGGTGAATTTAATGATACACATTCTAAAGTTTCAATGTGATATTATAATGAATAATAAAAGAAACAAGTTTGATGTGTACAAAATCAATAATTGTTCCATATTTTATGTGATGTATACTTAGCATGGTGCAATATTGTTGATCAAAATAGAAATGAAATGCCTTAAACCATTTTCTTTATCATCCAGTGACAACAGTTAATTTAGTTGATGGTCGTACAGAATATAGTGGTAGGGTCAAAATTGAACATAACAGAATTAAAGGTAGTGTTTGCAGCGAAAGCTTTTCGAACGAAAACGTCAAAGTTCTCTGCGCAATGCTTGGTTATAACTTCACAGAGTAAGTAAATGATAAAAGAAATGAATTTATAAAATTTGTGTCTAATTTGTTATTTTGATATCTTTTAGTTTATAAAGAAAGAATGATTTTCCCGCCTCAAAATTCATAATAGTAGACTTCAGAACGAAAATGTCCAAAAGTAAGATATTTAACACATGAAATGATAATTAAATAATCCTTGTTGAAGCTAAACATACACTTACGTAAAATTTGAAAGCTTGAACTGTATTAATTTTTCACATCACGCGAGGGGATTGCAAGAGAGGAGGAAAAAGAAATAGATATTTTGGTCACAAAATAGTGATTTTATTGTTATGTATAGCTTCTAGAATGTACAGAATATATTTCAACATTAAATAAAGTTTATAGATTCTTATTTTTAATGTAAAACCTTCAATTGAGACGATAACCAAAGAACCACTAACAATTTTGTAGGTTTGCGAGAAAAGCTTTATAAAGAATGAAAGCCGTTATAGACAACCTAAAGAGAACTCATAGAATGCACCTTAGTTAAATTAAACGAATTTTATTATGTTTATGTCTGTAGATTTAGGAATCACATTTTCGGGCACGCCATTTGTGTACATGATATGACCAATCTACTATACAATTAATATATTCATTGACTTTATTTGAAATTGTAATCTTTTACTCAGGAATAAGATAATCGATACTTTTTTTAAGTTATCTACTTGGCAATAAGAAATAAAGAAATATAAAGGGCAATTATTCTAAAATTATGCAAAAGAGGGTTATGGTTCTTAGTCACTTCAGTTTGCCTATATGTGATCTGCACTTGTTCTTAATGAAATGTTATCTTATATGAGGTGTTTACCATCAAATGTTTGAGATTTATACTGAAGTAAATCTATGATGAACGGGCGCAAGCCAAACGCGTGTAATGTAATGACCGGACAGTCATCATCAAGTCAGTATTCCCCCTTCTTTATTAAACTTAATTTGAGTTTCCGCTGAAACAAAAAAGACTGCTGTATATTACTAAAGATCCAAATAAAACCAGGGCTTCAACGTTTTCAAATTTATAGACCAGGATTTAACCTTGTACATATGTTTTAAATTAAAGTTTTGCTTACCATGGCAAAACGTAATTACTTGTTGATAAAAATGTTGTAAGTACTTTTTTCATAATATCGAGTAATTGATTTATAATCCCGTACCGTATAGATGTTAGAAATCTTTTTAATTTAAAGTGAAAACTCGCCAAAATAATAACTTGATCGCCAGTCCAATCTGTGTACTTAAATAAAAAGAACAGAATCAAATAACATTAAATTTACCATTATCAATGCATATAGATTTTAATATACAATTTGTAACATGTGAATAAAATCCGTACATCAACTACACATATTTGACCAATGTTTATGTGAATTCAATAATTTGACTTTAAAGGTTAATGTCATATAAAAGTCAATGTCATATGCTTTGTCCCACTTGTGGATTTTTCTAAGGTGGCTGTTGGTCAAATTAGTCTGTTGATAGCAAATAATGGCTATTACATTACAATTCATTGATTTAGTCTAACTGGGAAGACGATTGCAAGGTCAAGGTTAAACCTGATTTGCGCAACATGGCATCTTTATGGTAGGTGTTAGTTTGGCATAGTATTAGTCAAATCCGTCCATTAATACAAAAAGTCATTGTCAAAATATTAAGTATATTAATATTAAATGTATATATATATATATATATATATATATATATATATATATATATATATATATATATATATATATATATATATATATATATATATTATATATATATACTTTGAAAAATATTCTTTCTTACAGCTAGCTTCTCAGAACTTGACTTTGAACCATTCACTTCCTTATCTAATTTCTATCCACACAACTTCTGCATTCAATTTTTTATCAAAAATTCGAGAATCATCAACATCTAGGGTCTATATTTAACTAAATTCGACATTTCTAAGCTCACCTGAGTTGGCTAAGGGTAAGTTAAAGGATCCTTGAATGTCCGTCGTCTGTCAACATTTAATTCGTTAACATTCTAGTCACATTTTCTTGTGTTATGAGTCAAGACCCTAAAACCAGACAATATTAGTCCGAATTGAGCATATATTAGGTTAAGCAATAAGACCTTTTTAACCGCAGGCTTGAGAAAAACAAAAAGTATTATTATATGTAAGAACACGCTTTAATTAGCGGGTCAATCTCCAAAAACATGTCATCATGACATCTATTTTAGATACCCCAAATGTAAACATGTCGTGTTTTCATATAGAAGTATTTCAATAAATGAAGTAAAATCATTCATTTACCGAAAAATATATTAAGGATCGCAACAGGGTTACAATTTTAGAAAAGTAATTAGAAGTCAATTTTAAGATTACACCCAGTTTTAAATGCTAACATTTTTCTTGAAAATGAAAACACGTTGTTACTTAAATGTCTTCTCATTCTTTTAAATGACGTTTTTATTAATTTCGTAAAATTTATATTGACCTTTTACATTTTTCAAGTGCTGTGTACTTAGTATGATGAAACAAAGTCAATAAATCACTATTCTGAAAATTAAAAGTAATAAACAAATGCATCCTTTACTCATTTTAAATCCCTTTAACCCAACAGCAAGAAAAAATAACATATTTTGCATCAGAAACTACGTTTTGCAATTATAACAAAATGAAAAAGTGCTTACACCAACAACAAAACGACCCTAACAATCAGACAACGAATGTATAAGAAAGACAAAGTAACTAGTAGCAATAGGAGCAATGCTACGCGTTCAATCGCTTCAGACAGGATCTATTGGTTAAAATGTTATTCGTTTTAATGCCTACCAACAATGGGAAAATGTCGATTCAACAATACATCTGACCTAAAATTGTGTAGAGTGAATTTGCTCTAGTTTTGATAGAGCTTATGAAATTAGAGGCTGATTTAACAAAAATGATATAGCTAATTAAAGAAAATATATCACAGGTTGAAGTAATATGTAAATATTAAATTTAGACATCTAATCTTACTGAAATACTATTTGAAACAGTTTACTGTTTTGTTTAAAAGATCAAGACAGTGAAAAGATAAATCAGGCAAAATTACAAGAAAAGCTGTAGAAGACTATAACAGAGGCATAGTTGTGGTCTGATGTTTGGTCTTGCCATGCAAACATCAATGACGCTTGTGTCGGCAAAAAAATGATATACCGTTCGCGCAAGATAATCAGCAAAACTTAAATTTGACAGTATTTCAAATATCAAAAGAGATGACAAAATTATGGATATTTTCGATATAGGAATCTAAGATTCGGCATATCAAGATAATTACATCCAATATGTCATAATGTTGTTCATATCTCCATACTTATGCCTTATTATGGTTTTATTTAGAAACTTTCGACTTGATTTTCTTGCTTCAATTATGAATTTTAAATATTAACCTTTGCCTTAAAGTAAAGGATTTATTTAACGTTTGTCTCTGTTTATTTTATTATTTCTAACTCTGCATAAACGTATAATATTATGTATATAAAATTTGGAATTTAAAGATCCTGTTACAATTTTTTTTCATTTTTTTTTATAAATATGATGCTCAAATTAAAATTTGAAAGATATTACCCAATTTAACATTTCATGTAAATAAAGGGAGGTAATTAGAAATTTATTTTTTATAAATTCTAAGTCAAATTTTCCAAAAAGAAATGAATGCATGTAATTTATTGATTACATATAATGTGCACAAATATTTGCAGTACACATTTTACATATTCTTCGATGTTTGAAAAATGTTTTATTTGCATAATTATATACATATATATATTTTTTGCAAGTGTGGTATACACACAGCAACAATATCAATCACAAAACATACATGATCTTTAAGTAGGAAATAAGATTTTCAAACTGAGGTTACAGTGTTAAGAAGTTTTGGTTAAATTAACAAAAACTAATTTTCAATGATATTGAACATTTTGTGTGTGGTATTTTGCATTTTTTTAACTTATTTATCTCTTTTCAATTAAAAATTACATTTAGACTAAATATTTGTTCTGATACATAATAATATTATATATATTTCGTTTTATATTGTACAACTTCATTTTCAGCATGTTCCTATGGGAAAACGATATGCATACTTTTTATTCACCTACACCTGTAACAGTTAACGGACTAGATTGTACAGGAAACGAAACAGATATTCAGGAATGCAATTCTCGTCCTTGGGGTCAAACAAATTGCTCAGAAAACGAAGCTGTGGCTATAAACTGTAGTATGTATTTAGGAACGTCTATTTTTGGTTCATATGTTTGGTTTGTTTGTTATTTTTTATATCGAATATCAATTTTTTTAAATGCCTTTGTCAGTATTTGGTTAACAAGTATTGGAATTGTAAACAAGTAAAATCAATATTACTTAATATTTAGTATTTACTATTATAAAATCTATATAGATTTTGATCATTTTGAAATAGGCATAAATATTTAATGTGTATATTTTAAGATATTTTGACAGATTGCATTAAGTCCGTTATTTTTTTTATGTGTAGAATTATAAATATACAAATGCATGTTTTGACAGAGTTTGCTGCTATGTTAATTATATCATTAAAAAAGTACATTTACCAAAATAGTACATCTTATACAAATTGGCAAAGAAAAGAGCAAATATCAATTGTATATTTTTAGTTTTTTATTTTAGCGGTTTTTATCAGATGGAAAAATGTTCCATTTTGTTCCAGATACACCAATTAAGTTGGAAAATGGTCAGAACTCTTTGTCGGGACGTGCAGATGTTCTAAAATCTGACGGTTGGAATAATATATGTTATACAGGAAACAAAATGCTAGACAGGGATAATGCACGAGTTGTCTGCAGAACAAAAGGTTTAAGCACTGGGTATGTTGTACGTCTTGAGAAAAATAATTCATCCTTTATACGTATTGGGAGAAATAAATTCATGTTAGGCGTCCGTGGCCGAGTTAAGGACGTAGATTTCAAACCACTTTCACCTTACCGCTGTTGGAGGAACTTTGGATTTTTCATGTGAGGAGGGTTTACAGCTAGTCAACGGAACGTCGGTGGTTCTACTCAGGTACCCGTTCGTGCCTGAAATAATGCACGGAAAGCCACCTTAGGTCATTCTCCACCAGTAAGGCTAGAAAGTCGCCATATAAAACAACCAAAACAAATAAGTTATAAAAAATAAAACATTGCATAGATAACTTTAATTTGTTTGCACAAATAAGATGTTAACATTTACAAAAAATAATGGTCTAATTGATATGATTTTTATTCTAAATTGCTAAATACGTCTTCTTTTTACCATAAAAGTTATGTAAAAATTAATAACTTCTTTCCAGATACTATAAAAGATAGAATATAACTTTGGTAAAAAAAAGCAACTGAACGCAGTATTTTTATGTCATGTATTATATTTAAATAGTATATAGTAAAGAAAGATATTGTACAATTACAATATACTTGTGTATACTGATTCTAAATTATGACAGGAATGGACTGTATCAGCGATCCATTTGGAAATCAGCGATTCATAATACTATTTTCGATTTTTCTCATCCAGTATGATAACAGTGCATAAAGAATTTGGAGACGAAGGAAGCCAATTAAACATAAAATGTCAAGGCAGTGAATTAGATATTGGACGTTGTTTGATAATAAATGGTACATGCACAACTAATATGACTCTTGGAGTAGCATGTGGTAAGAACCTGAAAAACAAAACCTTATTTCGGTCAACACAATCTTTTATTTTTGGACCATGGAATAGTATTACATTGAATATCGATATTCCATGACCACCATCTTATAAAGACATCTGCTGGTGAAATTTAAATATTATTTTCACGCCCCAACATTCAAGGAGCTCAATTGAGTATTTTTGACATGACGGGACTGGAAATAATTTTTCCAGATAAACGTTCTATTTGATTCAGGTCTAAACCAATAATGTATGTGCAAAACATCAGATCGTTCGCCCACTTCGTGTTTTCAGTATAATTATTCTCATTGTGATCAGGGTTAAATGTGAAAGTCACAATGAGATTATAGTCTCAAAAGTCAAAATTATAGTACCTTTTCAGGTAAAAATGCATTTTCAACCAATAACATGGGAAAGAAAGAATATTAGTGTATTGCCCATTTCCTGTATATGACTGTGGGATCATAAGGATAAAGTCTCAGTGACAGTTGAAAAGCATTTATTTTTGTATTAAAAGTTTTCTGAGTCATATGTGTGTTATTATATAAAAAACATATGTATTCGTGGGTAACAGTAAAAATATCATCCCGAGGAAAATACTGTTACCCGAGGCGTAACAGTATTTTTACGAGGGATGATATTTTTACTGTTACTCACATACCCATGTGTTATTTATTTTATTACCCCGAACAAAAATACTGTGATGATCTGAAATTGTCAACTAACTGTAACAAAAATAAACCAAGAGTAACAATAACTAATCTGTCCTTACATTTTAAGTTTTATGTGTACATAAGGCCTACTTGAGACGTTTTCTTTTTCTTTTATTCTTTAAGTAAGTGATGATATCTACAAGTCATAAACATACAGTAAGCTAGGTTTTATTTAGAAAACAAAACACTAACCCATTTATACGGTTATGATCTGTGAAATCTGATCCTTCTGTTTCCAGAATATTCTTTGCATGGTTTTTGACAAAATAACGATTATATCCTATGTCTTTCCACCATATCTGTAACGTTTCACTGAATAACATTGTTAAATAATCCTTTGTTGCATGCTTAAATCGTCTGCATGTTCCAGTTTGACATTATATAAATAACACATGGGTTTGTGGGTAACAGTAAAAATATCAACCCGAGGAAAATACTGTTACCCGAGGCGAAGATTATTATTGAACTTGAATTTCAGATACCGAGGTGAAATTATTGCACGGTAGAACAAAATACATGGGTATTGTTTCTGTTTACATTCGAGACGCATATAGAGCAATTACATATATTGACAATGACATAACAGCTGAAGTTGTTTGCAGAACGTTAGGATACAATTTTACAAGGTTTGATGATGTAAAATTTTTCATAGGCTTTTGTCTAGGACGGGACCCTTTGATATGCATAATCGACTGAATTAAGTATTTAAATGTTTCTCAAGTACACGGTGGAAATAAAATTAACTTTTTTCAGTATCGCTTTCTTTGCCCAGACACATAGTGCGAATGTACAAAGTGCGTATTCCATTACTAAGGAAGTGCCGTGATGTAAAAAGATCTACTTCGAAATTTTAACCAAAAAAATACATTAAGATACTAAAAACATGAATAATTAGAATTTTGTAAATAAAACATAATAATTATCAGTATTGGTCTGCTATCAAGCCGTATCAATAAGTTGTTGTTCAATTTTTCAAATATATATATATATTACGTAGACATTTATACACCAACAAATTCTTTTATAAATTTATATTTTAAACAAATATATGTTATTCTTATTTTGTGGTATAAAATTTCAATTTGTAGGTTTCCTGAGGTGCAAGACGTCACAGAATTAGGAATTAAGTCAAACTCTTATTGCTCAAACAGTATTATATACCGTCTAGATTGCGAAGGAGATGAGTCTGATGTTATAAATTGTAAAAATAGTATTTGGGGTTCGTATAGCAATAATTGTGTGTATCCACAATCTGGAGTAAACTGTCGTAAGTTTGTGTTTTCAGTAATGATGTTTCTGTTATCAATCTTATTTACTTATTTAGTTTTGTTGGATTTAAAACACGCCGAAGTGCTATTTTCTTAGCTGCATTGGTGAAGGTAGATCTCATGTGCCTATTCGTGCATTATTTCAGTCTCGAGAGGCATCTACCGTAAGATAGCTCGAGAGCTTCCTCGCATAAAGAATCCAGTTCCTGAAGGAATTTAAACCACATGGGTAATATGCAAATGGTTGGAAGTCGGAGACCTTAACCACTAGGGAAAGCGCAAATAATTAGCTTGTTTGACCCAATTTCATCGATAAACAATCATTTATTTCGATACATTATAGGTCAGATAAGGTATTTTATAATGTGCTTATATTTTGTATTTTAAATTTTGTGAACATTTATGTTATAATTAAAAATGAATGTATATAACATTGAGAATAAAAACGCTTATGGCATTGTTTTGTCTAATCGCTGTCAACATGAATATTGAATAGAAACACCAATACGCTTAGCCAACGGCTCAAAATATCAGCACGGACGAATGGAAGTCAAACAGAACGGTACATGGTATCCTGTTTGTAGCAGACACTTTACAAAAGAAGCTGCTACTGTGGTCTGCCGTATGCTTGGACATAAATATGTTAAGTAAGTGCGAACTATCCGATACAAATTTGCAACCTGATAGCATAAATGTCAAACTATTTAGTTATTTATCTGAAATCAAATTCATTGTCCGGCATATGAATCTTTCAAACTATACGAGAAAATACATGAAAATGTTGTAATCGGATAGCATATGAATATCCTATTTGCCAACCGTCAATGTTGATTTTGAAAAACCATCAATTTTTTACACAATAACTAACAATATTAAAAACTTATTATAAGTAATTTTGCCTTTCTTTTTTACTCAAAGGATATTTGATAATGTTTAACTATAGAACTGTTGTTATAACTTATTGTTTTCCTTTTGCTATTATTTCTTGTTTTCTCTTATTCAAAAGGGATGTCATTTATCATGACGAAAATGCCGAGGATTATGCACGTTACGTAAATGGCAATTTCCAGTGCAGTGGAAGCGAAGTAGATATATCAGAGTGTTTAAATGCCATAAGTGAATCTGACTGTGCTATGGGCAATCCAGTTTATATTGACTGCAGTAAGACTGAAATAAATACTTTACTTTTTATCATATACCAACTATAACTATACCACTGCCAATTTTCCCGTGTTGCTATTTGTAGTCAAGAAAACGTGCCATCATATCAACATGATGATATTTTATCAAGACCAGCTATATTATAGGTCGCCGGTAGAAACCGGCGACTATATTTGTTACAGTTTAATATTATATCTATGGTAGGAGAAGGCCTTAAATCTAAAAATGAAAGCAAATCTATTATTGAACAATTAAGGACACGATTATTTTTTATAATCTTAAAAATTCAAACATAAAATAACGTTGTTCAATAAAATGGAATATATACTAATATTGACATCTTAAAAAGCAATAATTTTTAATTACAATTTTCATAAAATGAATTAATAATGTATCCCTGTGGATCAGTCATTGAATTTTGGGTTACTTTAACCTTTTTTTAAGTGTCAAGCATTGCTATTTTATGACAGATAAACCATGAATGATATTTAAAATGACACTTTTTTGGTTATTTGGTTCTTTTTATCTTATGAGACCTATCATATTTCATTATTTTATCTAATTATAAGCAAATTCTCCCAGTTCTTTTCTAAGAATCACGTGACTACACGTTGTATGTTATTGTTATAAAGTCTATGAATAGTAACACATTGCTGATAAGAACTGCAAGTAACTTGTGAATAGTTGGCAAAAGGTATGACGGCTGATAAGATGCAAATTATAGTAATTTTGTATAATTTTTTACAAAGTTATTTTTCATCAATCATTTTCATATGTTATATCATTAGAAAGGTCTATATACTCATAACTTATACATAAAAGAAAATAATTTTTCAAAACCTTTTCATTTTTCTTAGTAAGGGTTTAACTTAGACCTTTCTGTTCACTTTCTGACAAGAACGTTCTATAGTGTAGTTTAGGTTGAACATCACAATTAAAAGATTTATGTTAAAGAGGCACATTTATTGAAATAAATAGTGGTTATCGCCGTCTTCGTTAAATTCCGTTGAATTCCGTCGCGCAGGTTTCCAAAACGGTATTACGGTAGGGATCTGGAATCGTATTAGATACATAAAGAGAAAACTAATAAAATTTTTGTTGATTTATATCGCACTGAAAAGCAATTAAACGTTAACTATATAGTATGTAACAACAGTAATAATGATTTCAACTGAATTATATATTTTTTCGATAGCACATAAGAATATTTTTATGCAGACACCACTTTTACGGTAGAATTGCATTGTTTCATGCAATAATTAAAACATATATTTTCAGAGTCACTTCGCAAATATTCGATGACCGTTAATTATTTGGCGGTAATTATCGGAATCTGAAGTATACAATGTCTGGTTTAACGGTATATGTATAAGGTAGAATTACAAGTAGAATTACAAGCATATCACTTGCCTAACACAATTAATCAAAACTATGAAATAACAAAATGCTAGAAATGAAACACACGATTTATTTACTTATGTTTCATAAAGTTAAAAGAAATAATATAAAGTATTTTTATGAAAACTACAAAACAATTTCAAAGATTCGAACCTGGCCTACTATGTCACAACTTCGTCATGGTAATTTACCATTAGGCCATCAAGCAATATTAACTGATTTAATATCGAGATCTTTGCTATGAATAAAATCTTTTACATTAATCATAATAAGTTACGTAAACTAACAAAACACTTCCAGACAATTAATGAGTCTCAGGTAAATATTGCCAAACAATACTTGCTTAATTAACAATGATAGCACTTACTTGACAATATTGCTTAGCAAGTTTGCTTCAAATATGATGTTTTATTGTAAATTAACAGTTACTCTACATATTGTTCCTCTTTTCTTTATGCTTGAACCATTTATTAAACTGATATTTTTTTATTAATCATGATAATGCAATCATTTTTCTATCCGTCGACTTGATGCTTTAGCATCAAAATCTCTACTTGTAAAGCATTGCGATTTATTTAGACACGGGTCTATAGTTCATGGTTCTTACGGTATACATGTATAGAGTACTAGCCGACCAATCGAACACAAGGTTACGTAAAACAGCATGGTGTAAATAAGAGCGTTCTTGTTGTCAAAAATACAAGTATCAAATAAAAAGGCGTTTTACCTTGCTTTTTTTTGATCATTTACACGCTTTATAGAATAGAATGCGAAGAAAAGGAAAACAACTTCTGCGCTTTCTATCCGCTTATTTGGATTTTTTGCGTGAAAAAGAAAATTGGACAACTTTAAAAATTAACCAAATGGAGAATTTTAATTAATACATTGATATTAAAGTTTAACATTTATTGTAGGAATATTTAGGTGTATATCTAAGTATATGAACTAACTCATCTGGCTAATGTGATAGTCGCCGCAGCCGAATGATCAGACGATATTTGTAAAGAATTTGAAAAGAATATAACTTATATATTTATAACTAATATTCTGATGATTTTATTTTAAAAAAAAGGAATCCCGTTCAGACTAGTGGATGGGCCAACAAAATATAGAGGTCGTCCAGAAATCTCACTTAATGGCACATGGGGTCCCATTTGTGATACAACGAATGCCAATACAATTACAGCGCTGTGCCGGATGTTAGGTTTTAATTACATGTAAGTATACAAATGTATGCAGACTACAGAGTTTTTAAAAAATCGGATATTATTATGCCACCGTCCCTTATACCGTCCCTTATATGTTACAAGCAAATTTTGAAATTATCTTATCTAGTTAAGTCTTGAATTTGAAACATAACAGGATATCTCTTCTAAAGCAGATTTTAGTAACATTCAAAAATGGCATTGCTAATTGATTCAGTATGCATTTTGTCATAATCTTTAACTTCAAATATTAGGAAATTAATCAGTAATATCAGAAATCTGTTGCCCCTTTTAGCTATATTTTATCAATCGTGCGTTTCAGGGGTGCCATCCGCCATAGTAGAAAACAAGCCTACAGTAATAAGACATGGAATTCGACACGTTTTTATGCATCTGATTTAACTTGTGATTACTACCGGTTAGAAGATGACGTATCTGAATGCTCATCATATAACTGGAACTGTCCTTACAGTGAACCCCTTGAGATCGAATGCAGTAACAAATTTGTCTGATCTATCTATCTATCTAAATTTACGTGTTTTTTTTTCAATAATAATGTTTGCATTTAAAGAAATCTTTAAAACTGTTAGACAATTTTAACTCATCTTTTTATACGTATTAAAATTTTATAAACTTCTGAAAGTTATTATAAGAGGTTAAGAATTATATTATTTCTAATTTCTAGATACACCTGTCTATCTAGAGGGAGGATCGAATCCTAATGTCGGACGCGTTCGAGTAAGATATAGAGACAGTTACCGGGGAATATGTGGTGATCATTTTACAATAGAAAATGCTGATGTCATCTGCAAGTCAATTGGTAAAGAAACATACAGGTATTTGCTACCCATGCAACCGACACTTAAATTTGGTGTTTTATGAAATCCATTTTTAATCAATAGCATGTTTTACTTCTAAACGCTCTTTGCATTTATTGTATAGTATAAGATGCCTATCTAACAATTCACCCGCGTTTATTCAATGTAAATCATATTTGATAGTTTAAAAATGATTCAAAATGAAAACTAATAAGCAGATAAGTTTTTTTTGTCTTTTGTCGTTGAAAATACCCTTCGTCCTTAAAGTGACAAGGTTTGATATATTTCCTTTTTACATAGAAACGCATCAGTCTATTATGGAAACAAATATGGCTCTTCATACTACCCAATCGTTGGTCTTAGCTGCTCAGGTGACGAAACAGATTTACAAGAATGTAAGTCATCTCCATGGTCAATAACAACTAACTGTACCATGTCTAACAGAGCAGTTGCTGTCAATTGTCGTAAGTTATTTTCTTATTTTCCTATTTGTTCACATACTTTTTTGAATTACATTTATTAATAAAATGTACATAATTATGTTATCACATAATATTAAAATATAAATTTTAACTATTAACTATAAAAGAAGTTGCCTAATGCCATTCCACGTTTTATGTTTGTTTCTTCTATGTTTAACATTGAAGGTCCACATACACCTGTGCGATTGAAAGATAACAAATCTGGATTACCGGAATTTAACTATAATGGACAATGGGGTACAATTTGTAATGAAAACTTTGACACGAAAGATGCCAGTGTTATATGTAATATGCTTGGCTTCAAAGTTGGGTAAGTTTGTAAAGTTATTGTATAACTCATAAAAGAAAAATCGCTTATATTTTTGTCGTATTGCTATTGTTATATAAACTGTATTTGCTAACATCTAAGTTACTTGATGTTTGTTAAAATTTTCTTAAATCATTTTAAGTGAATTTTAGCATCAAGATTACCTATTCTTTCTATGATCAAATGTTTATCAAACACTTACTTTTAAACGAAACCTTACTAAATGTTCTAGAATATTCTACAAAAAAGTGAAACACCAGAAAGCTAATGCCAACATGCACATGTTTGAAATAAGAATTTTTTTAACTAAATATCCAACTAAATATCCATGAAATTAGTGTTAGGTCCATAGACTGTAATAAATCTAGTTGGTTTTTAGAGAAAAATTGGATATTTTTTCAATTGCATTACTGGGTTGTTTCTGCCATTTTTCAATGAAATTTGAAGAAATAATATGTCATTTTACATATTTACATATCATTTACAAATGTGAATATTATTATATTTCTTTATACATTTCAATTTATAAAACTTCAGGGAAAAGGGTGACCCAGTTTTAACAAATAAATCAGATGTGCTGGTTAGAAGTCTGTCGTGCTCTGGATCGGAAAATGATATATCTGAATGCGAATCAGTCTCATACTCGTGGTTTTCTGGTGGAGCATCTTGCAATGGTGATGACCAGAGAAAGGCAACAGTTAAATGTTCAAGTATATTCAAATTTTCATATTTTCTTTATCATATGAACATATGTTTTATAATTTAGTGGTTTGAAAAATAACACTATTATTATGATTTACTCATCACGAAAGGTTCTAGTTATCATTTGCCATTATTATTCAATTTCTTGTTAAATTGTGTCATGACTGTTATACAAAAGGAATGTTGACAGCACTATTAAAAGAAAGCATTATTGTTCCAATTAAAAGGAGGCAAGCCGGTATATAATATCTTTAGAGGAATTGCATTTAATAGCATTCTTTAAAAAATATGCGCAAACTTAAATATAACTTAACTTGCAAAATGGGACAAGAAGATCAGAAGTAAAATGAAAATCAATCCGACTGTTTTTACATTTTATACAGTCAAATATCAAAAACCTTGTACGCTGCAAAGACAAAATTACTTATTGTGTATGGTCATCCTGACAAAAAATAATTGTAATGTAAGCTTATTCTTCTATGATTTACGCTTAGATGACAGAGTGCGTTTGGTTGGAGGTGTAAACGATTATATTGGAAATATCAAGTTTCAATATTTGGGAATTTGGGGTTCAGTATGTGACGGAAATTTTGATTCTAAAGACGCTGAGGTTGTTTGTAGGGAAATTGGATTGCAGGAAAAGTAAGCGTTCATTTAATTACTTAAAGATGACTTCGTTTTAGATAAATTGTTCACAACTTTACATGAATAAATTATAAAATACATTCCACATTATACGGTGAAGGAAAGTCTTGTGTTGTTTCGTAGAAACTTTACAAAGTTTTGGTCTATACCAACACTCTACATGCTCTACAATTGACATTGGATTTGCAATCAGATATACGGGGTAATCCACTGGTTTAATGTGCCCCAACTTTGGGGGGCATTTAGATTTACCCTTTTCCGTCCATCCATCCGGGCGAACATCCAATGGTATGTCCATAATTTTAGTGAAAAAAGGGAAATCCCATAAACCGACTGGTTTATGTGGTAATTTTACTGGTTTATGGGGAAAATGCCACATAAAGATCAAAGAAAAAGCACATAAACCCCCCAATGTTGGCATGCCAGTCTACACAGTCATGTAAAACTGGTGTATTGAAATACAACAAGATGCACTAATGTATTTGCTCATTTATTTATACTGCATAAATCACTGACATTCATACAGTATTAAAAGGGTGAAATTTAATTGCAATCAAGCAGAAACCGCTAATGCGGTTAGAATATCTTGGTTCTTAAAATTGTTATAAAATAATATGTTTAAAGACGCCATATAGTGATAATTAAATATTCAGCTGTCCAAACTCAGTTACTTTTAAAAACTATTATAATGCTTTGATGGCAAATACATGTACATTATTACTGGGGGAAACGGAATACTGACATTGAGGATCGTACATGATCGTACATGATTTTCTTTTTAAATTGTATTTACTAAACACATTGAAGTAATAAAATACAAGCCTTTTGAATAGGGCAATATAAATTAGAAGTCGTACTTCCCTTGAAGATTAAATGAATGTCATCAAGTTATGCAATACAAATAAATGAGCAAACAAAGTAGTGCATGTTGTTGTATTTCAATAAATGTACCAGTTTTACATGTATTTTTATGAAATTGATTTACTCCACGCTATATCTTTCTGTATTTTACGCTATTAATATATAATTATTAAAATACATTCGTTAATGCTTTAAAATTAAATCAATAAGTAAACTTGTAACATCATACAACAAAGGCAACATATATTAAATTAATATTGCAGTTGCTTCGATGATTCTTTTACATTTTCATCGTGGTTAGTTGGTATGATTTGTGTTAGCATAACAACAACAAGTAGAAATCTATGTTGTCTAAATCTACAATTCAGGAATATAGATATTTTCAAGAACTCTCGATTTGGCTATCAGAGTAGTAATTTTATTGTAAATGATCTTAACTGCACCGGAGGAGAACGTGACTTAGATGAGTGCGGATCATATCCTTGGAAATTGAACACCTCTCTATGCCCATATTACAACAGAAATGCTGGTGTTAATTGTAGTACGTACATAAACAACATTTCTTGATATATCTAAAATTGTGTCAAAACTAAATAAGTCATTTTTTGTACCAGATTAAATCTGATAAAAATGAATACGTTCATTTTTATTTTCATTAACAGCTTTCTCAAGACAGTTTGCAAGAATTCTTTAAATACAATACATTTGTAAATACAAGTCTTGTAGTCAAATAATAAAAAGGTAAAGATGTAATAGCGAACGGTACAAAATTAAACAGCTTTAAAGTATTTTCGTAGTAAAGTAGTTAGTACATACAATAAATCTAATTTACCGTATAGGGCCAGATACTCCAATTAAACTGTTAAACGGGACAAGTAATTATACTGGTCGTCTTGAAGTTGAATACAAACAACATTATGGATCAGTATGCGACAGAGATTTCGATGTAGACGATGCTATAGTGGTCTGCAGGAGTCTAGGATTTAATACCATGTAAGTTTTTGTCGCCAAGATAAGTATTTAAAATACGTGATGCATCAGATAATAAGAGAAATATAATTTTGTGTAAGTTTATGAATCTATAAATTTTAAATTGAATGATTTTCATTTTTTTCTATTTGGTTGGGGTTTTTACGTCGCACTAAGACAGTAGAGGTCTTTTTGCAACTTTCCGACTTGACTTGAAAGGAAGACCTCGTGTGTGCATTGTCTTAAACCATATTTCTCTTTTTTTAACAACAAGGTTCATTTTTTCCTTAAATTATGCTTCAAAAGTTTAATATCGTTTTATTTTATCTAGGAGCGTTGGTTTCAAGAACAACGCATTTTATGGAAAAGGAAAAGGGGACATCTTTGTCTCGAACTTGAAGTGCACGGGAAATGAAAGTGACATATCATATTGTGACACACCCTATCGATGGGCCGAACCGCATGAGTTCTGTACACATGAGAATGACGTCTCTGTTCTTTGCAGTAAATATGTTAATATAAATCATTAGATGATTTAATGGAATAAAATGCTATGTTTTATCATTACTTTTCCTTTACCATGGTGACTGTTGATTATTTAATTGTTCTAAATTGAATAATTTTAAACGCACGTGTGATTACAACAAAAAATGCGCACAAACATCCGAAGTATTTTGCAATAATTTTTATTGTTTTGCAGAGATAATTAGTATTTTGTTTAACATCATATAATTAAGTACGTGTGTTAAATAATGAAATATAATGCAATACAAATTTTCCTTATTTTTCTTAAGATGTTTTTGACAAAATTGTAATGGCGATTAATGTCATGCAATTATTTAGATATTTTATCATATTTTGACTCATCTTTTTTCTATCAGACACGCCAGTGCGCCTTCGTGGAGGATGGACTGATTTCGATGGAATAGTTGAAATTTATATAAATAAATCTTGGAACTCTGTTTGCTATGATGGATTCACACAAGAAGATGCAAAAGCAGTATGCAAATTGTCACCTTTGTTAAGTGATACTCATAGGTAAGCATTTTGTACAATGTTTTGATAATTTGAAGGAATAAAATATATAATTTTTTATCATAAATATTCTGTCAGCCAGGTTATGGAGAACAATTTTCAAACTTGCTACATTTAAGTTCATGATCAACTCTGAGTATTAACAAATCTGCGGATGTTTTCTTATTAAACATTCACCATTAACCGGTGCTAGGGTGCATGAATGTTAACTTGCATACTGCCCATAAACATGCGCAACTAATATAAGCCTTCAAAATACTCATTGCTTTGCTTTTGTTGCTTCTGCTATATTATTCTTTATAGTTATCAAAAATGAAGTATAAGATTATGGTCATTCAGTATCAAAATATTTTTTGAATAAAGATTAACATTAATTTAACTAGTTATACATTGAAACATCTGATTCAAATACCATAATGCTTATAAACGAGTTTTCCCGTTTTAAATAATAGAGAATGATAATAGACTAAGAGCAAATTAGACTGTAAGCACGTGGAGAAAGAAGTGTGCAGTATATTATAATCTGTCACAAAAATAGGTAAATGTAAACAAAGTATTATTGTGTCTGCCATACAATATACTTAATTATCAAAACGTTACAAAAAAAATAATGTTGAACAAATGATTGTTCAGCTATAAAGGCCAATCCTGTTAAAGTACACACCAAAAGCAAAAACATTTTGAGGTTATACAAATAATATGATTTGGCATTTTAATAGTCCTCAGATGCGTAGTTATCTACATATGATATTCCTGGTTAAAAGAGTGCCTTACTATTACTAAAATATATCATAATAATAAAATCTTTATTAATAGAAGGTAACATACAAAGTTTACATTGTAAAAAGAATACTTATTTTCAGTACGTCCTTCTGATTTTATAATTACAAAGAAAAACAAATGTACGGGGCTTGTCAATCAATACAAAATTTGAAATATTTTTGTATAACAAATTGAAATATATTCTTGAATGTAAAGGTTAGATATTTTTATTTCATTCATCCGACTGGCACTCATATTAATCGTAATAATTATGGATAAACTCGTAGTTATTTAAGAACATGATAGTACCAACATTTACAACAGTTACAATATAAAGTGTTTAATTTTCATTATGTGTCTAGCTGTTAACTTAGAAAATTAATTTAAAAGCTGTTTTTGAAAGATTGTAAAGTCGAACACTGTTTCATAGTAATAGATAATTTGTTCCAAATGATTATGATATATGCAGAGTGTAAATAATGTACGCAGTTTTACAATTGCAAAATGCTAATTTTGATCTCAATGTCTATGTTACAATAATTTAGGCCTAGCTAAACCCTCAGTTATTATGTCAAATATTTACTAATAGTAGAATATTTTATCATTATTTAAGTGCTAGGATATTGTAAAACATTCCCTGTAAATTTTGTTTTATTTATAGCTCTGCGATTATCTCGATTCACGGATCAGATCTTATGGGTTTTTGAAAGCAATCAACCTTCAATCGTCTCCCTTGGATTGTAACGACAAAACAGAGGATGACTTATTTCGCTGTGGTGTCTGGAAATTGGACAAAGCCTAAAAATTTCTTGTATTCGCATGAATCTGTCGCTATTAATGCAGTAAGTTTATATTTTATTCTATTTTGACCATAATGGCTGGAACGTAAAAGTATATCTTTTAAAATATTTGATTGTAATTGCATAGTTTACTGACTGCTGCAAAACCATTCAATTTTATATTGATCATTTGCAAAGCTATAAAGAAATGCTTAACATTTGAACAATGACAAAATTCATTAGATATTATAGCTCAGATACATTTAATGCTGATACATAATATGTCGATTTTTTTATTCTGTAAAGTATCCAACTTGGTTTGCCAAAATGGTTTTACTCTAAAGCGAGTCGCGCACTGTTAAATGCATTTAAAATATATATTAATTATACCATATCTTTTTTTACGACTATCTGTACGTATGTTTAACAATGTGGTCCAGTGAAAAGCTAAACACTTTTTGCAGTTGCACAAAGAGAGAATTTACAATGAATGTATCCTCTTTTGAGCAACACACCTAAAT